AGTCACATGCAAAAGAGGGCCATCGCCTAACAATAGGCTTGTTTAGCTTTATTTAGTCACATGCAAAAGAGGGCCATCGCCTAACAATAGGCTTGATTAGCTCTAGAGCTAATCAAGCCTATTGTTCGGCGATAGCCTTCTTTTGCATGTGACTAACCTGTTTGTCCATGTGGAGGCAGTGCTTATAAGGCTGAGTTCACCTGAAACTCAGACTAAAGAAGTGTCTTGGACGAGAGATGAAACGTTTCACTAAAGAAGAACCATCCAGGGGACCTACTGATTTTTTTGTTATGATTTTTTCTACCTGGATTACTGAGATGCATCAGGAGCTTTTAATGGGTAAGAAAACTGGCAAAAAAAATAGTATAGTTTGTAGAATTAAGTAAGCGCTTTTTGATTTCCTGTCTTCAACATCAACTTTAGAGTCCAGCTTCTATGACTGGCAGCTGCACTTAACCTGCCCTTGCTTTAGGGCTAAAGTCATCTTTCTATCAGGTGAAATAAAACCTGGAGTTTGGGAGGTAGAGACTTAGACTGAAGGGGTTTGGAGAACCGGTGGCTTGTGGTCTAAAATCAGGCCCTCGAGGGTTGAGTCTTGCTTGGAAACAGCCCAAAGCAAAGGGCTGAACACCGCTGATTATGAAGGTCACCCCTCTGGACGGCCAAAAAGACCCCATTGCCTGGCAGACCTATACGCTGAGCAAGGCCAACTGCCTGCTTGTGAAAACATACGTGCACATGTGGAAACGAACAAGCATGCACACGTACAGGTATCCCCTTAGGATATGCTAACACAAACATGAGAACAAGTTCAAGTACAAAAATCTTCTGAACAGACAAAAAAACGGTGGCCTGACAAGTTTAACTAATGCGGATCCAAATAGAAAAATACAAAATAATTATATTCACACTCAAATGCACAAAATACTCCAATCACATGAGAGCAGAAGGGATATGCCTGGCAGACATAACCTTCACTTTTTTCAGTCCAGAACCCTGAGCTGAATCTGTGTGTTACGCATTTGTAAAATCCTTGATTTAGATAAGAATAATATCCAACTCTGAGGCCTGTGCTGTCAGACTAAAGTGGCTTTTGTACATGCCACAAACAGGCCGTGATGCAACTGAGAAAACAGCCTCCGTAAGACTCTTCTAAATAATTGGCATAATGACTCATTAAAAACGGCCTTTCATCAAAAGGGCAGACACAAAAAACGTTAAAAACAAGGACAAAAAAACAAAACAAAACAAAAAAAAAACCAGAGGCTGAAATCAAAGTGGCTGTGCGTGTGCTGGAGCATGAACAAAATATAAATCTGCAGAAGCATTAAATATTGAACGGAAAAAATATTCCCAGTCTTGTCTTTGCTTATATAACAGTAATTCAGATGAGGGGGAATGGGCATGTTTTGAGGTCTGCACATCTTGGCACAGACACACTGATATGGAATATGTCTTCCTCTCACTAACACCTAATTAGATCACAAAGCTTCTCTGGAGTGAATCTCAACTCCAAAAACTCTACGTATGTTATCTGTGAGCAACATCGGGTTCAGTCTATGGGTATGCACTGAAACTGAATTCTTCTACTTTATTTTAAGTCTGTGATGTATACAGGGCCTAATAAAAGTTTCATACGAGGCTATGGAACTGAAGAACCGTGAGCGACACCATCCAGGCACAAAATACAGAGCCTCTCCATTCATAATACATTTGAGACGAAGTTATGAACTTAGGGATCTCTTGTTCTGGTCCTTACATGTCAGGGAACATTATGTTTCTCCTGCTGCTCTTAGACTCACAAGGCAGGAATATCTCTACAGAGAAGCACAAAGAAATATACTTTCTTTGGCAAATTACCTCTTTGATCACCTGCCCAGAGCTCTACAAGAGGACTGGTTCGAGTTCGACTTCCATTAGATCCAGTCTGCATTGGTTCTGATCTCTTCTGTCTATTAAACATGACAGTTTACACACTGCCATTCAGCAGCGAACCAGTGAGCAGAAACTCTTACAGATCTTACACTGCTGACAGAAATGAATAGAGAGGACAGAAAATCAACACTGGGCGAGTTTTAAAATGTTATCAAATCTTTACTGCACTTTTTACCTTTTGGTCTTTGTGCTAATTTCTGTTTCTTTCACCTTTTTTATTTGAGCGTTTTTCAATGTTTTTTTTGCAATGTTTTTGCAGCTGTTTCTGCCTTTTTTCAGCTATTCTTCTGATAATTTATACTTTTTAGGCTTCTATTAGTTTCCTTCTGCTAATTTTAATGCTTTTTAGCTGATTTTTGCTGATTTAAGCTGTTTTCTGTCTTTTTAGTTACTCTAGCTTTTTTCAAACATTTTACCTCTTTTCACCTAAAATCACATTTTTTGTGATAACATCAGCTTCTTACTGCTTAATTCAGCAAACGTGCTCTTTCTGTGTCTTTGTGCTAATTTCAGCTTTTTTCAGCTATTTTTGTGCAATTTTTTTTTGCAAATTTTGGCTGCTCTTACAACAAATTTTTAACTTTTTAGTTCTCCGTTTGTTACCTGTCTGTGAATTACAACTTGTTTCTGCTACAATCTACTTTTGTTTCCTTACTTTCAGCAAAATTTAGCAGTTTCAAATTGAACTCACATTAACAGTTTTGATATTCAACATTAAGCATTCACAGTTCATTTTTTCAGGAAATGCAAATTCTCCAGTTAGCGGTTGAATTTATTTTTCAAAGTATAACATAACCCCTAAAAAAGATGTCTTATTCCAAGCTGGATTTCACTGCTTTCCAGCTGCACTTTAAGTTTAAAGTATAAGTGACACTCTCTGTATTTCCAGACCTTACTGTGTGTACATTTCATTTTTCCTACAACTTGTTTTATCTTCCAAATTACTTTGTTGTTTATTTTAGATATATGGCAAAGCAAATAATTGAGACATACATCTCTGTTGTGCTTGCATCAATGTGGTTTTTTTTAGTAATGTTTTGTTTTTTCCCCCGTTTTGCATTTGCAGAAAGAAAATGAGCGAGTCCCATAATGACTCCATCGCTATCTT